AAAAATGGGATTAGCTCAAAAAAGAACATAAAACAGTGCCCAGAACATAAAAGGAATTGCAGTGCAGAATGAGGCCCCTTTGCTGAGGTGACTGCACCTGTTTCTCTACTGACCTTACTTAAAAGTGGAGCAGGGAAGTGCTAATGAAGTTGTAAATTTCTCAATTCCTTAACAAGGAAGCATTTTTACAGGCACATCTAAGTGCCTTTGCAAGTGCTAACTCCCTGTTTCGAAAACAATCTAAAGTAGGCTTCCAGCTCCATGCAGACTAGCCTGAATTTTCCAAGTGGGCAGGAAAAAAAAGCAGTCAATATACATTAATCCTCTTAGTGGCTGAATTCAGTGGCTCAGGCATTCTTTTCTGTGAGAAACTCATACTGAAACAACTTGTGTTTGAAATTTTCCCTTCTTCTTTTGTCTCTTCCCCCCTCTACAACTTTTAACACAGGCAATGCCTTTGTTTCTTTGTGTTGTCTCCATACCACCCCCTGCCTGGCTGCCAACGGGAGGAAAATAGATCATAAACATGATGATTTCTAAACTACACATGCTTTTGCTTCAGGAAGCAGGCAAAATGGAAATAGATTTATTTGCATATAGTAAACAGTCACATACAGTCTTATTTGCAGCAGTAATTAAGTGAAATATTAATAGTAAACAGTTCATATACCGAGGAATGCATACCATTACGGCGGTGTGAGTTTCAGTATTAAGCAGATGCCTTAGCTAGCTTCCTAGCTTCCAGTTCCTGCTTAGCTTTTTCTCTCATTTCTCTTTCTCTCTCAATCAGAAGTGCCCGTTCTTGCTCCCACTCCTTTAGCTTCTGCTCATGCTTTGCGATGTCCTCCACTTCACATGCTGGCAGCTTTTCCTTGACAAGTTGAGTGGTCAGAGTTAACAGGCTTTCAGATTCTACCTTGCCAAGTGAATGCAGCTTAGAGTACAGCTCCTGCCACAAAAAGGAGGGTTTGATGGGACAGAGAAAGAAAGAGACAGTCACAAAATAATCAGTGACTGAGCACTTCCCTGTAACAATCAATGTACAGTTGTTTGAATCTAATGACTAGCTGTGCTGATCCAAGCTGGCCATTTTGTCCTACCTAAGGATTTTGACTGTGGTAGCTGGTATCACTTCTTCCCCTTGAAATGCTAACCTTTGGAATAAGTTTTTCTGAACAATAAAATGGAAACAAGAAAGTTTCATTATGTACTGAAATTCTCTTCATTTTTCCAAGTGTAGTCACCTGGTATAAACAAGGGTTAGCTGATCAGTCAGTAATGAAAATACAATTTAAGCACCTTTTTTTGTGTCTTAAACCAAAGCGGACTGACTGATGTGCTCCCCAATGCCTGCATTAGCATCACTCTCCACATATGCAGATCACTTTAAATGCTTGCTTACTAATAGCATACTAAGTAGGTTCCATGATTTTTTGCCAACAGTTACTGTGATCTGAGGTTTGATTGTGTTTACACATATTAAACACAATAGAGCTAAAGCAAGTAATATTTATTCAGGCGTATTCTAAAATGTAACTAAAGATATAGCTTCAGTAACAAACTGCAATACTTCTTTCTTGAGCTCTACTTACCAGAGCTCGTGCAGCATAAATATATTAATTCACTTAAGATGATGAGTCATTGAGTCATTGATACTATTTCTGGCTTTATGGAATATTTGGCCTGATGGCTCTCTAACAAACTGATTAATTGCCTTAAAAGTGCAGACATACAGACAGTCAGGAAAGAGTTTCCTGCGGGAGGAAGACAACATGGCACTGGCACATTCCTTAACCCTTGGTCATTCATTAGGTAGGAACACATATTCCTGACTGTTCTTTTAAATAAAATATTTTACTGAAACAGGCACTTGCAGAAATGTTTAAAGTAGGTAGGTATATCCACGTGCTTCTTTCATGTGTTCTTTATAAATAATAAATAGGATTTATATGAATAAACCCTACTGATTTGCACTGCAAGATAACTGAAAGAAGATGGGATAATTAATCATCATACGGTGACTCTGAGGACACGATGACATTTGATCTTCCACTCCCAGTTATCATCGGGAGCTTGCACACCATGCAGCTGGCCAACAGTGTTCCTCTTACCCAGCACTCACTGCAATAATCTGCAAAGGCACTGCAGCTCAACTCAAGCCTTGAGGCTATGCCTTCTTCTGAAAAAAGAAATTGGAGCATCTCTTCTGATGCCTTTTCACCTCTTCCCGCCTCAGCTGACACAACTACAACAGATTTGCTCTTTTGTCAGGCCCAGGGAAGTTTGAACATGACTGACAGCAGATAAAAAGCTCTTTAACACTATGTGTGCAGGTCTGAGGTGCTTGGAATTTGGCTCTGTTGCCTTTGATTTTATGACAAAGTTTATAAACTGAAACAATGTGACATTACCAAATTAAAACCAAAATTAGTAATATCTGTGTATTTATCTCTCTTCTGTTTGAGATACAAGTGAATTTACAATACATCCAGCATAAATATGAAGACAGTGTGGTTTGGGCTTGAGAAAGGAACACAATTCCTAATAACTGATGCAGTCTCCCCACCTACTAGTGAGGATGTGCTGGAAAGAGAGTTTGTATGCTAGAACTAATCAGTATGAAATTGAAAAAGAAGAAATGCAATGAACTGGAAAATAGCTGGGCCTCTCTCCTAACCCATTATTGGTACTATTGAACTCTGGAATCTTCTCTGCTCTGCTGTAATACATTAATGAAACTCATTTAGGAAAGTAACTATATCCTGCAGGTACCAGACGGGCACATCCTTAAATTGCAAACTCACTTATTTTTATAAGCAGTCTCCAGGGCTCTGCATAGAGATAGAAAAGGTACACTGCTTTTAAAGAGGGTGCTCTCAGCATTTATATGATGTAATGCTTGCCCATTGATCACTGACACAGATGGAAGGAATTGCCTAAGGAACACTGTACTGAGTAGTATGCCTCAGAATATGATATCTGGAAACAGGTAATTACAACATGAATGAGAGCATCAGACACAAAATTATAAATTACTGCTCTGAATGCTTTATCTGGAAATAGCCAAAGGCTCTCAAGTCCTGCCTGCTGGAGGCAAAGAACATTCTGCCTCTCACATATCTGATTTCATGGACAGGCTGCCACAGCTCTTTCAGGTACTTCTACAAATGGCTGTTTCAGAGGTTTGTACTAGACATAAAGTCCAAGCCAGTGTAGAAAACCATGCAGAACATGGTACAGGAACAGTACGTCTAGACAAAGTCCAGATGCTCTTCCTTGCATGCCTGGGTGTAGCACTTGTGAAACAGACCTGGACAAGCATGAGACTGAAGTGATTCACTTTCAGCACCAGGAGAAAGAGTGGGACATGCTTGCTAATGCAGAGCTGGACTAAGTGCAAGTTTTTTCAGTAGCAGAAGTGCAATTACTGTTGGGATTAAACAGCATGTGCCAGGACACTGGCAGTGAATGCCAACATCACCAGTTTTTTTCAGAGCAGCCAGACCCATAACTTCCCTTAGATCTATGTGTATTTCTGGTGTACTTTCATCTCTGTCCTGCCACTGTCCAGGGGTTCAGCTGGGAAAACTGACTGCTGTTGGCTTAATGGATTTCAGAGAGGAGTATAATAGCTCTTCCAGACTTAGCAGAAGTGGCATTCTGTCTTGAAAGCTCTTTTTTTCTCATCAAGAAAATTATGACTTCTTTATATATCACTTACTCTTGGATACCTAAGTGGATACCTAAGATTTCATGTGAGTGCTATGTTTTTCCTTAGATTTAGAATTCTCAGAGACCTTAGAGGTAAGGATGGACAAAGAAGTTTCCTGGATCATTACTACATCAGGGAATGAATGGGGTTAATTATGAAATGGGGTTAATTATGGAAGAAAGGTTGAAGCAATGGGAAAATATCTTCTTGGCACCACTGTTCCCCACTGTTTGACATTTAGACCTTGTTTTGAGCATTCATCATTTTGTTTAAGGGCAGACAATGGATGGACAATGACAGACACAAAAAATGCCTCGTTCTCTCCTTCAAAGGGCATGTGTATTTACCCAACTCACTGTAATTCATCCAAGCATGAATTATCACATGCTGTCCTCTCATTCATTCCCAAACACTCAAAATACAAAGTCCTAAGTGCTTAACTGTAATATTCAAATATTAGTGGTAAACAGTCTATATAAATATAAACCAAAGAAGGGAAAAGCAAGTATTGGTAATGTGAAACCATAGGGTAATAGTCATCTAATTTCTGGAATTATTTTAGAGCAACTGTATGTATTCAAAGCTGTCCAAGGTCATGATAGCAACAGTGGAAACTGATGGTCTAAGGAAAGAGCATTACTCGTGGAATTATAAGCCAGACTAGCTTTTTTTTTTATTTTTACCACAACACAAATCAGAGATGATCAAATAAAATGGGATTGTTGCATAGCTATGAGATGCTTAAAAAAAAAAAACAAACATATAGGTATGCTGTAATGTTTGAATTTTATATTGTTATCAATATTGTGACAAACTAAAGCTAAGAAGAGAAGAGATATATCCTTACTTATTACCCAGACTGAAAGTATACATGCAACTTTTGTACTTAATGTACATAAATGGATAATAAATTTAGATTGGTCTCATCTCCAGTACCATTTATTTTAATGAGCAAGAACCCACACAAGGTCAGATAATGGATCTCTAATGACATACCACTTTTGCAAACAGCATTTGGATTTATCATTCTGATGTATGAAAAGTGAAGATAAAATCCCAGCAGACAGACAAAAGACAAGTGGCCTTGAGCACTTATTTGTTTGAAGGCTGCTTCCTCTTTGAGTAAGTGAAAATGTAAGGTGAAATCAGTTTCAAAAATGCCAAGTAGATTCTTGGTGTACTGAAAGAATGTCAGTCTACTAGCCATAACCTGTGAACTAATTCATCTTCTGCTATGTACTAAGGAGATCTATAGCTTAGAATATTTAGATAAAAGGAAGTTTCCTACCTTGAATCGGCTGTAGTACTTAGGTATTTTCAACTGCTCCGTTTCTTCTGATTCTGCATATTCTGACTTCTGTTTTACTTCTTTGCCTTCTTCAGATGGTTCTGAACCAGGTTTTGCTTCAAGGACAGACCGTAAAACGATCTCCAGAACATCAACCTGGGCAATCACATTTGTCACTGTTAGCATAAACGGTTTGAAACTACAGTCTGACTAATACCACCGTCAGATTGACAAACAGCTTTGTAAGTTACCATGTAGTTCCAGAAGACTACTCTAAATGATAAATTCTAAAAGCAAACAGACTCATTCTTGGAAGAATTCCAAACTGCATTTTGGACTTTTGAGGTTGGGCATTTTGAAATCCCTGCAGCAGAATATCTCTGTCAGTCTGTCAACAGGTCTCTGTCTACTCCCTGTCAGTCAGGTGCTGACTGGTATTTGAGAATGTGTCAGGCACTAGACTAATGTCTTCTCCAGCTCTGATACTTAGCCATAAATACTAATGTTAAACAGTAGCCCCTGTGATAGTGTGATACACAGTCACAGATACATCTAAATAAGATGTTACTATGGAACATTCAAAGAATACAGTATTTAATAGATCATCCTGGTTCCTCTTTAATGATAGTAAGGGGGGAAATCACTTATTCAACAACACATTCATTCCTGAAATGGGTTGGATAATTTAACAGGAAAAATGATAATACAACATACTGGTAAAGGTATATTTTTAATCTCTATGACTCTTGTTTTTTTCATGACCTCCACTTGAGAGTTACCAAGAGAACCACCATCTCTTAACTGAAGCTGTATCAAAAAAAAAACTCATTAGTGTCACTGTGGGACTTACTAAATTATTTCCTTATCTATTATTGATACAAAATATGAAATTGCTATATGGATGTTGCTGCTGTTCTGAGAATAACACGACTGTCATAAATTACTGAATGCAGACTGACTGCGTTTTAAAGTTCAGTCTTTAAAAATATAAAGAGCTGTTACCCTTCTGTGAATCTTTATTCTGAATCTTTATCTTGGAAGAAATAACTGTGTAACCTTGGAATCTATGAAACTTGCCACAAGCAAAAGGTCTCCAGATATCTATAGTTGGCTGGCTTGCCAAATAAGGCAGTATCTCTGTTCTAAATCACCTCTCCTGGACTCCAAAAAGCTCTGAAAAATTGCTGGGCCTGAAAAGGTCTGATATCTTCTCATTAGCAAGACAAGTAATTTACAAGTTTTACTGGAGTTTGGCTTGTAGGTAATTTCTTGTTTTATGCAGGTTATATGAAGTTTTCATACTTACAGCTTCTCGGCAGATTTTGCTGTCTCCTGGCAAAGAAGCTACATTCTCCATCACCTGCAAAGCTCTATTTAAGTATCCAGGTGTCCACATCAATGGCATTAGGTTGTATACAGCTCTTAGACCTTTATTCAACTCCACTTTCCCTGTGATAAGACAGTACCAGGGATAAGACAGACACTTTCAGATTAGTACTTGAAAACTCAACTCCTAAGGAAATCTGTAAGAGTTGGCGCAGTTCTCTGTGAAAAAGCAAGTTTTTAGGTTTGTCTGGTAAGAACAACATTCTTTTCTATGAAGCTGCTTTGACAGAATTGTCATTACTGTACTTAAATGAAGTGCCTTCTGTTTGCTCAGTTTCAGGATTATCATGTTTGTTTCTCGTTTCTCTCCACTTATTTTTTCCACCACCTGGAAATTTTATTCATGTGGAAAAGAGGAAAAGTGGAGAAGCTTCCCTGTTGTCTGGCAATTATAACAGCACTTCTAAGCAGGATTTCTGAACATCTCCGACAAACAGTTTCAGAGCCTTCATGGACTCACTGTGCAACATGAGTCCACCAAATCTGAGAGACTAGACTCACACCTGCAGTTTTGAGGCTCTACTCACACATGTATCAAGGACAGACTGTATGAGATTAATAGTACATGCTCTATAACCCTACAGCTCAGTATTCTTATTTCTAATTGGAACTTCCTGAGAGAAAATACAGGAGACCTGCCAAAATGAAATCTTGGTTCTTGACTTATAGTACTGTGCAACAAGGTCTGCATGACTTTAGCAGGACCAATGATGTGCAGCACTGCAGACAACATGGTGTTTCTTCTGAGGTGAACATGAGTAATGAGTACATGAGTATGAACATGAAATTCCCATTCAACACAACAGAGGAAATCCACATGACGTTCCAGTTTGTGAATACCAACTGGCAATGAATGCCACCCTGAGTTCTTGATTTTGTCATTACCAATGAAAAAAAATACTACAACTTCAGTGTATCCTATCAGAGATATGCATCCAAGTTCTCAATTGAATTTGAACTCTGATTGCAATAATGCATAACTGTGAAAACACAACTTACTCTTCTTCATAGAAAAATAAGGTAATATGTCCACAAAGCTTATAGACTACAGATAAATTAAAATAGCTAAGGAGCTTTAGGCCACTCTGTGCCTGAAGACGTCCTTCACTCTTTCAGAGGTTGGTTCCATTAGTGCTGGCAAGACTGTGAAATATGTGACATAACAGTAAATAGCTTTTGATCTACTGAATGTGAAAGTCATGGAACAAGTACTACTGCTCACAAACACTGAAATGCACATCTACAGATGTTACTCAATCAATCTATATGGCACAAAACCGAATGCCACTTAATAGCAGCTCTGTGGAATATCAGATTTCCAATTAATTTTCATATTTATCCCCCTTTTGGCTAAAAATGAGGTCTTCATTTTACAGTCATGATAAATCATAATCAGCAACCTAACTTTGTCACTATGTATTGTATTTTGAGGTCATATTTTAAGAACATGTACACTTATTATCATCCTGAATGAATTCTAGAATAAAATTTAATTCTGTAATGGAACAAGTGCATAATCACACATTCTAAACTAATTTACTACTTTCAATCAAATAATCATTTTGCAGAGGACATACGCTGTCTGGACTATACTCCAGTGAAGGAAATTCAATAATCGCTTACTTCTTCTTCCCCATCCCACATCCTCCTTCCCACCTATCCTGGATGTACTAGCTGTTCTTCAAACAGTACTGCATATCATTAGCAGTGAAGGCTCCTTAAAAGATAGAGGATAAAGGTGGTACCATCTGCTATTCACAACAGAAACACTAGTGTTGTGGTGAGTACTAATACTTTATTTAAATATTCTAAACATAGTGTCTTTCAGGTTGTGGCCTCCAAACACGTTGGGATTTAAGCATTATTTTAAGCTCATGATTTGAAGTAGAAAAAAAGCTCATTCTTCATAACTGTCAATTTGTTCTGTGGAACCCTTTTTTGGGGGGGGTTATTTGGAAAATACATTGTTCCCTAAGCAAAACAACCTTACTCCTCTCTAAGATTACCTTCCTTCATTTGGTCTTAACTCTGAAATTGTTCCTCCCATGATTTCTACATTTTTTTCCTCAGTCTTTTCATCAATTACATTTTAGTTAAGCACAGACACCAGTTCAATTCATCCAACTAATAAAAGGATAAATATGACTGCAAAGGAGGCAAGACTTACCAAGAAATGCATAACCATACAACTGGGAGCTAAATCCCACAGTACTTGTTTGCTTTAGACCCGTCAGCAATAGTGATGCGCCAAGATTTCTCTCTTCTTCCCACTGCAAACAGTAAACTAAGATGTAAACTAAGCATGCGTTCCTTGACAAACACAAACAAAAAAGTTGCAGCAGGAACCACTTGGCCTTAATTACATCTTACTAATAAAGTACAGCATCATGCAACAAATTCAGTGTTCAGTTATAGTACTCATATCCAAAACAACAGTATATTTATGCAAAGGAACATCTTCTAAACAAAAATAAAATGCATGGAGTCAACATTCTGAAGTTAGTCAGTGTGTTCACATAGGGTTAAGAATTATATTGATTTACATTGGTCAAACTCTGCCTCTGTCCTGTATGTCCTCACATTTGCTTCAGTCTGATACTGCTTAAAACAAAAATTACATGCCTTCTATATTGGAAAAGTCCTTTCTTTTAAGTGTGTGGTAAGATTCACGCTCTGCTAGAATTGAAAATGCTCAGAGAAGAATATGCTGCTAGCAGCTGCTTCAAATCCTAGTGACAGATCAGACCAAATATGGCTAGAGCCCCAATCAGTAAGTATATTAAAGCCACAAGGGAGGTGTGAACTTTATTCTGAAACATTCCCTGCACTCCACTGACTCTTAAAAAGCACAAGGGTTTGACCTGGCTTAATGCAAGAAGGTGTCTTTTTGGGATATGGCATTTTTGGTGTCTCCATTCAAGTGCACATGAACTTACATACATATATCCAACAAAAAATACCATTATCTGACAACCATGAAATGTATTTGTCTAACCTAGGCAAGAGATACAAGGGGATAGTTCTGTTTCCTACTGAATTCAGTATTCCTGCTGAATGTTACAGGAAGAGCAAATGAAACCAGAAGAGAACTTTAAAGGTCTAGATTCTTTTGGGAGCTAGTGTGTTTGGCTTCAAGAGCTGGAGAAACTGGGAGAACTTAATACCTTTGCAACTGAACATGGCAATCATACTGATTGTTTTCAACAATCAAGCATGAAATTTTCTGGTGAGAGCTAAGACCAGTGTTTCAGCAGTGCTTACAGCAGCAATAAAATAAAATAAAATAAAATTACTACAAATACTGAGGACCAACGTAGTCAGATTGCCTATGATACAGTACAAGTTTAACAAAACATTTTGCCAGTCTGCTGATCCCTAAACTACAGCCAATGCTCTGTCTGCAACAGGACACTGGCTGACCTTTCTTGCGCCTTGGAAAGAAGGAATGGGGATTTTCACAAGCAGCTACTTTCTACTCTCCGCACTTTTTCCTAAATTAGCCACAGAAAACTGGTACTGAGCATTATGAAGTCTTGACTGGTACTCCCTATGTTGTATACCTATAAAAATATGGCTTATAATGCTGTCCTTGGATGGAGTTATTTCAAAATACATACTAAATAGGTCACAGCTGTAAAAATAAGCTTGCTTTTTAAAACGTGTTACATGTCCACACCACCACTGCTTGTAAGTTCAGCTTTCAAAAATACCACATGTATTGACAAGTGCCTCTCTGCAGTGAGGCACAAAGACAGACAAACATAATAGGAAAATGCTTCTCACATACAAGTCATCCAGTATACTTGTCTCCTAGGGAATGGAGGAGATAAGAGCGAATAGGGCAAACACACACCTCTTTCCAGCAGTGAAAACTAAAATTACAACCCAACTGATTAAAATCTTATAAATACATTTTAATAAGACACATAGAGGCTTCAAATATTTTTCTTATGGATGATGGTAATAGGCTTTTGAAGACTTATGCCAAACTACAGGAGAAGTAACTGTCTAAAATGATAGAAGAACCCTTTTTGGCAAAGTTCTAGCGAAATGTTTTGTTACCAAGCTCCAATGGTGAGCAACACTCACCTTAACAGTGTCCTAAATAACAGTTTTTTTGTTAACTGACAGAGCCCTCTTTGAACTGAAGTGAAATGTCACTTCATAACCTTACAGTGATCCTATACCACCTCTGAAAATCCTGACATGCCTTCAGAGAAAGAAACAACAAAAAGGGATGACGTGTGATTTGCTGGTTTTCCTCTTGTTTTTTTTTTTTTTTTTTTTTTTTTTTTTTTATAGTTGTCAAAATTATAAAGAAAACTTGCAAGCATTTTATTTTTTACAAAAACTTAAAGGAAAGTTTTCATTCAGAACAGAACGCCTAGCTGACTGCAATACAACATGCAGAAACAGAAGCTCCATGTATCATTTTGAGTGTGGTCAGCTTACCGTATATTCAGACTTGGTTGCTAGGTACTGGTATAAAACATAGAGAGAAAGAAGCTGTGTCGAGAACTCATCAAAACTTTCTTGCAGCATAATCTCTGTAACTACTGATAGAGCATCTGTGGAGGAAATAAACACACGTTAAGTGGAAAATTACACAGCTCCTTCTTCTGCATCCATTAACGTTCCCTGATGTTTTACTGCTGTAGTGTTTTTTGAAGTGGTTAGGAAGAAAGTTTAAGATTTCCTATGACTAACAGTAGAGAATTAGTCTTATCCACTTGGGTTGTTCTAACATGTCATGAGAAGGAGAAAGCTCAATCAACTGGATTACGTGGAAGACAACAAGTAGCTTTCTAAACACATCTTAACCCATTGCTCTCAGACTCTGATTGCTTCTTTGCTCAGCCCTTCAATCATAAACTTCTTTTTTTTAACCTTCAAAATACTTATTTTTTCTTGTATTTAAACTAAAGACTGGCTTAAATTCATTGCTTTCAAGGTGACTGGAGTGCACAGCAGAGAATAAATACTGTCACAGACCACCCACAGCATTCACTGTATTCAGCAAACAGTGCTCTCAAGGAGCTGCTCAGGGAGTTCCAGTGATATTCCCTCTCATGAAGGTCTGAAGGCTTTGAGCCCGTCAGAGAAAAAAAAATATGGATAGAAAAAAGAGGAATTCATAGGATAGGGGCCTCTCAAAATAAAATATGTATTAACTTCCCACTTAGCAAAACCTCAAGACAAAAGCTTCAGACAAGTCTTTCAACAATTCTGTTTTCCTTCTCAGTTGTTTGGTTCGCGAAAGGTTTATTGCGAAGAAAGATCACTGCCAGTCTAAAAAAATCTTCAGTGAAATGAAAACCTTAAATATTTGTCATCAAACACGAGAGGATTATTCTTCTCAGCATTTTCTCCAGCAACAAACAAGTCTAGACAAATAGCTCAGTTTAGATGCATAGCTTTTTGAATAGTTTACAAGTGGACAACATTGTTGAATTTTCACTAGCACCTTCTAACAGAATATTAACATGTAAATTGGAATTCTAAAAAAAGTGGAAGAAGATGGCTTACATTTTGAATAGCATTAATGGTCATAGAAACACTGTGAATTGCATGTTTCAAAATCATACAATGAAAGAGATCCAACCTAAGTGATATATAAATATGCAGAAAAGTAGTTTAGATAAGGAAAGTGTGTTTTTAAGGTGAATCTAGAGAAAATATGGCTATAATATTTCAATACATAGGAAGGCTCTGCATATTTAAGAGCATACAACTGAGGATGAAGAGCGGGTATCTATTTTCTTACCCTCATATTTCTTCTGTTTTATAAAACAATCCAACAAAATATTAAATGTAAAATTATCTGGGAAAATTCCATACTGGACCTGAAGAGAAGAAAAAAAAAATCAGTGAGAAAATCTGCTGTTCAAATCTTTCAAAGCAGAGCTCTGCAGGTATCAGAAGGATCAAGACCATGGAGTTGCACACTGGTGCAGTATGACAGTCAGGCAATACAAGAAGCTTATTAACATGGCTCCTGTGATGTAGGCCTTCTACTTTTCAGTCTACTGGGTTTGCTTTAGCATTTTGTCAGGGCCTTTGGGACTAAGAAAGGCTCTGCCTACCAGGGTTTTTATGTTTTTATGTTCTATTCAGTGTGCTTTAAACGCCAGCACTACTTAAAACCAAAAAGCTCAAAGAGAAAAAAGAGGACAGAAAAGCTGTAAAGAGTTTTTGCTGAAACTAAAGTTTGACTTGAGTTTCAGCAACTCAGGTTAAACTTTAGTTTTTGTTTCGACAATTATATATCTGAACTTAAAACAACAGTATTCATAACAGGCCGTAATAGGAATTCCAGGTAGGGCACAATTGTCTCAAAATGTTAATCAAATATAGTTATGCTTTTTCCTTGTAAAATCTTACCTTGTTTTTTAATGTGTATAAGGCTTTGTCTTGTGCACCATGTTTTAAGCATTGTCTGATCCAGCTGTGAATGGTCCAATCTCTCAAGTACCAGCAATTTGGACTATGCCGAAACCTAAAGGGTGATAAACACTCCAGGTGACAACTGATTTGCTGAATCAGAATCACAGGAAAAAAAAAATCTGTAATCACAGAATCGCAAGGGTTGGAAAGAACCTCAAAAGATCACTGAGCCAAAATGCACTGCTAAATCAAGCACTCTACAATAGGTCGCACAGGTAGGAGTCCAGATGGGTCTTGAATATGTCCATAGAAGGAGACTCCACAACATCTCTGGGCAACCTGTTCCAGTGCTCCATCACCCTTACCTTAAAGTAGCTCTTCCTTCACATGTCAGTACGGAACTTCCTGTGTTCAAGTTTTAGGCCATTACTCCTTGTCCTATTGCTATGCACCACTGAGAAGAGCGTGGGCTCATCCATTTGCCTCCCACCTCCCTTTAGATGTTCACAAACATTTATCTGATCCCCTCTCCGTTTTTGTTTCCCCAGGCTGACAAACCCAGTGTTTCCAGATATGATAGGAAGCCTAGGCCCTTTATCATTTTTCTTGATGGACTCCTAGGAGATCCCTATCTTTTTTGAACTGGATAGTCCAGAACAGTAGATTAAATGTGGCCTCATCAGGGCAGAGTAGGTGTGAGGATCACTTCCCTTGACCTGCTGGCCACGCTCTTTTTAATGCACTCCAGGATACCACTGGTCTTCTTGGCCACAAAGCAACACTGCTGGCTCATGGCCAATTGGTTGTTCACAAATCAATAATCAATAGATTGTGTTTCAATACTTCAGCCCTTCATGGACCCAAATGTTAATCTTCCTGTATTTAACTTTGCAGCCAAACAATGCTCTTCCAAGAATTCTAGTTAGTCCTTTAAGTAAAAGAAACAATACGCTGATACACTTCAGTAGTTTGTTTGAAGGGAGAATCTGATCTTTTCACAAATGCAAAATACTTAAATTTCTCACTTTCCAGAAAGTCTAATTATTTTCCTCTGAGGAATACGACAAAATAATGGCTTGGTGTATTTATGATGGCAACTAAAATTGCTATCAACATTGTTGTACTTTTTAGCACTGTCCTTCTGATTGTAAAACACTGTGTTATTAATCTCTTCTAAACACAGCGCTCCTCCACAACTGACAACATTAGCAAGTATCAGAATTACATCAAAACACTGCTGCCTTTGAACCTCCAGAATCTGTGTATCTGATATCTCCAAACACTTAACTCATACCTCACTTCAGTCACTCAAGAATTCACTGCACCTCTGCCTCCTCAGACTTCATTTGTGTTTAGAAATGCTTAATCAGAGATGCATGCCTCAAGCACAAGGAAATTACTGGATATTCTTCCCCTACCCCTCTGCATCAGCTGCACTAGCATTGCTCCTCATGGACTTATTTTAATCAGTTCTGAGACACCTTGTGCAACGGATTCAGCAGTGTTCACAGGCAACTCACTCCAATCCTTAACTTTAAGTTCAGCCTCTTTTGTTTCATCCTTACTTAGCGATATATGACTTACTTCGTGACTGGAAAAGTATCGACTAAAAACATATAGAGCTTTATCTCTGACAAAGTCTCAAAAAGCAATTACGAATCCAGTGGTAGGAGCTGCTGCCTTGATCCCATGCTGAACCATGCTGACCTCGGTGTCAAGAGGTACACATAACTTTTCTCAATTCAAATTCAACGCATGAAAATCAGACTTGGTCCCCAACGCAGAAGTGGTGCCACTTTCTGTAGGAAACATCAGTGACTGAGCTAGGCTCATGTGCAGATGCTTGCAGCCTCGAGCCAAGCTGCAGCACTATTTAGAGGCAGGGTTGGCTCTTCCATCTGAGTGAGCATCCTTTCCAGAACATTTATCAGATTAACATGGCCACCAACTCTCTTTTTCCCCCCCACTGAATCTCTGCATATTGTATCTCATGGCTAAGGGCTACACAGATTGCCAAGTCTGGAAAAGCATTCCCGTTATAGAGTCTACAGCATCCAAAAGACTTCAGTGCCAAAAGCAGAGCTAAACAACTACACAAAGTCTAAATATACTACTTCTTCAGTGGCACATGAAATCTCTCTCGTCAATGCAAATTTAATAGAAAAAGTCTGCTTTGAATATTAAATTATGAACATCCATTTTGTTGCTCTAATTGCTTTCCATTTTCTTCCCTCTGGAATTCAAACACTGGGCAAGCAAGAATATGTATCTGATTTCATTGAAGATCTGTTTCAATAATGCTTACAGGAAGCATCAATTACAGGAATTTGGATTTAATCATACGCTGATGAAACAATTATCTAATTGCTACAATGTTCCACCAGCCATTTAAGATGGGTCAGAGCACAACACTAGCACCCAGCAACAAAGCTGTCTGCATCTTTTGAAGCTGCTTTATTAAATGGTTAATATTGTTACAAAAGTGGAAACAACAATCCTATAAATATGTAACGCTGACACTCTCAAAGACTTAGGCCTTTCCTTTGATATAAACTTTATCATCTTTCCTACAAATGTGTTACAGAGGGAAGTAAACAGTAAAAGAAAATGAAGGTTTTAAAGAGTTTAAGCATTCACCTTTAAGCCAATGCATATTTACTCTCAAGTATGTTTATACTCAACCATGCCACACTGAGAAAGAGCACTCCAGGAACCTCATACACCTTGGGAATGCTATAGCGTACTGTAATGGAGAAGGGCTTGTAGGTTCCCAATCGCACTTGGACAGTAAAAGGTCAAACAAGAATGTGGTGAAATCTATGAAACGTGATGAAACTGATCACAGAATCATAGAAAGGCTTGGGTTGGAAGGGATCCCAAGGATCATCAAGTCCCAACTCTCCAAGAGATCCTCAGTCATGACAAGTTTCTGGAATCAATATGCACAAAATTCAGGCACACATTGAAAGAACTCTCTAAAAAAGCCTTGATATAGGCTTTGAAGGCCTGGGGGCATGTGTGTGGACACGTTTATATGCATACACACAATCACAGGCCCTATGAGTCATAATTTTTATATGTTGCTATTAATACCCATAATTTTGGATTCTGCCTCCACTGGGTTGGGTACCACACGAACAGGAAACTCAAGGAGATTCCAAGACAAAGTATTTTCTAGTTAATCCTAACTATTCATTACAAAACAGTTACACGGGAATGAAGAAAGGTAAGCTAAAAAATGTCAACAAGTATCTATATGCATGTATACAAAATTCCTCAGCATTAGACACTTTCATTAACCTATAATGTTGTAGGATAACTGGAAGTTAAAGAGAAATAAGCATACACTTAATTGTTTCAATCCATACAATGCTGAGATAAGCTCTGTCTCTGTTCTATAAGATGAGAAGAGAAACCAAGAGGATCTGTTTTTACATCCGACCCAAGCAAACTAAACAAACATAGCAGACATTTTTATTTCAAATGGAACAGTGAAAGAACGAGATTGCTGGTCATTTTGAGTCTTCCTCCTTCTCCACAAGACACAGAAAAGGATGTAATTACACAAGGAAATGTGTTTGGAGATGAAAGGACAAAAGGAAGTTAAACAGAGGATTCAGAGTGAATTAAATAAAGGAAGCCTCTAGCAATTGCTGTGTGTTTAATGGATAGACTAGGAGGTTATCTTGCAAACGTCTGCTGCTGAAACTCATTTTCCTGAGAACTAAGAAAAACATGGGAAGAACAAGGTTCTTATAATGTATTCAGAAAAGGCAAGGAGAAACATCCATAAGGCTATTAGGGGAGCTCACTGTTGGTACACCTTCATGTGAACAACTGAAGAATCAATATGGTGATCCTCCTCATCACTGACCTGAGAACATCTTGTCCCACAGAGAATGGGAAGAATAATATCTGTAAGACAAGTAGTTACCCGAGTGTCAAAATCACTGCAAATTTAATAGCACATGGTGCAATGGTACTAGAACTCTCCTTTTATTTGAAAATAGTTGAAGTGATCCAGTACAGAAACTAATTTTATTGTGTGATGATGATTATTATGTAGAAGAGATACTATGAGTATACAGTACAAGGAAACCAGAGTATTTTTAGCCAAGCAAGTGCACACTCTCTCTTGCTGACAAACTGACCTACCAGGCTAAGAATGCATTCCTAGTTTAGTAATACTCTGCACAAGGTCCCAATGCTAATTATTTACAGCAGTGCTGAAGTGCTCGTAATGTGTTAAAGAAACGGCACAATGGTAAAGTTTATCAGGAGTGTCTTATGAAGTACATTACTAACTCAGCAAACATTGGTGTTCTCCCAAAACAGAAATGCTCCTGATCAGTTCTTTCTTCCTTTTAAATGGTCTTTCAGATTTGTTTGGTGCCATCAAGTGGTCATACAGTCTAGCGCCGCTTTCATATACCTCCCATTTTCAAGAGAAATAATACAGCAAAAATGAAAGTAAAGTGAAGCAGTAAGATGCCACACTGCACCCTTTTCCCTACATTTGTTGCAAGATGTTTTGGGACAGCCACAAATGAGGAAGATTGTGAAGGAAAATCTGCTGGGTTACAGGGCAGCTTCTGCAGAAGTATACTATCAGGAACAGCTCAACTGTATGGAGATAAAGCTAGCTCAGCAGATTCTTTGCTAAACAGACTCCTTTTTGCACTCTATGGCTTTCCTGAGGGTGGATCAACTGCTGGTTGCCAGCCAGAGGCTGTCCTTGTGCAAATCGTAATGTTTCTTTTTCTCCCGTCTGTGAAACAGAGCTTCTATTTGTCTAATATGCCTGACCTAACAAGAAAGTATTTTGTTGTGACCTAAACTTGCTGTGCACTCAACAGTATGATCTCTCAGGCTTGCAGATCTCTTAAAGACTTCTAAACTTCACCTGCATTTTGCTGTGCTGATTTTTAATTTCCATATATGTAGGTTGCTCCAAAATCAATACCTCATATTTGTTTTCATGGAAACTACAATCGAGACAAGAGCACAGAACTCTGTTTGACAGAGCAAATTCTCAGCTACAAAATGCTATTTTTCAACAAAGGCATTGCCCTTACCTATGCATTTTCACTACTGATGAACAAGAGCCCACAT